GCAACAGCAAACGCAACAGCAACCGCAACGGTAACGACAACAGCAACGACGACCACGACAGCAACAGCAACAGCAGCAGCAACTGCAACAGCAACAGCAACAGCAACAGCAACCGGAACCACGACAACAACAACAACAACAACAACAACAACAGCAATAGCAACGGCAACAACAACAACAACAACAACAACAACAACAACGATAACGACGGCTGGCGACAACTGCATGCGCAGCTTCAACATATACAGGGGTTACGTTTTGGTGTTTGGTCTGGTGGTTTGCGTTTACATAGGGTCAGGGCTTAGATTTAGGGGTTGAGGGAGTTCCGAATTCTCCAGATCTTTCGAGCGATAACCACGAGCCGTAGGGTTTCCTTGGCCCGCCTTGATGCCGAGTATACCCAGAGAACCCAATACCCCTTAACTAAGGAATATACCTTAAACCATGATATTAAACCCGTTTAGTTGAAGGTATATCTCTTAATTAAGGGGTATTGGGTGCTCTAATAGTTCAGCCCGAAGGAAAATACTTTTTAGTCGCAGTACAAAAGTTTGGGAAACCGCCAAGCAAGCAAAGCTCCAAATGTCCTGAAGGGTCCGGGTTTGGTCCTTGTGGACCCAGAGACTCCAAAACCCCTTAATTAAGGAATATACCTTAAATTATAATAGGATCCCTAATATGATTTAAGGTATATTCCTTAATTAAGGGGTTTTGGAGTCTCTGGGGAATTCCCTGTAGGTTCGGGTGATCAGCGTAACCTAGGGTTTGGAATTGCCAGTCGCAGAACGCCTTGTACACATTCGACACGTTTGATTTAGCACGCATCAGTAGGGAGTTTTAGAAGAGCGCTATAGTGCAGTAGGAGCAGCATCCTAAATATGGGTACCGCGAAGCAGCGGACATGCCAGCTCTTACAAGCTTTTCATAGAGCCTAAACAGTAAACCCCTTCAGAAACCTAAACCCTGCATTGAAGCAGAAAATCCTGAGCTAGGTTGTAGTGTTATGGTTTAGGGTTCTCGAAAACTGT